CATTTAATGATGCTCATGTGACTAGTTGGCACACATATTCTTCCAGTAATTCCATAACTTCTGTCAATTTCCAGGTTTGGTATGGGCAGGACATTATAAGGGAAAAATGAAGAAGCATTACTTTCCTAATGACTTACTGATGTGACAGTATCTTCATCTTCCTCTCTGTGGCCCTTTGCCTGGCTGCTTCAGTCATCATCCTGTTTCTTCGCTTACACCACCAAGGAATGTAAATTCGTGTGAGACATCTCACAATACTATCTACTATTCTTTGGTGGTGAAGCGAACAGCCAGAACACCTGATCCACTCGAAGTCAACGGTGCTCTTGATGGCAGTTGTGATATGCTGCTCCACTGAATTCAAGTGGGCAGCCTCTGTCATTATAGACTCCATCAGAGTTACAGCAGTACCAACAGTCTCCACCAGCTTCTCAGAAGGATATGTGAGAGACTGTTCTGTATCACTGCACTCCTTGAAATATATGAAGACATTGGCTGATAGCAGCACTTCAGATGTCAGGCATGTCTTGCATGCATCACAGCTGACACCATGAAGCACCTGTCTGGCAATGGAACCACTGACGTAAGCTACTGAGAACACTTCCATTTCACCAGCAGGTACTGCAGGACTCATGTCCATGTGTACTTGCTGAGTAACATGGAAACTCTCAGGCATACCAGCAGGGGTTTCCTTGTCGTGACTCGTGGAAGGATATCGTGAAGCAGTTTCAGGTGCCCTGAAAAGGGATTGTAGATTATCCAGAAGAGTAGCACCATCATCCTCACAATTAGTTTCCCCCAGTCCTCTAAATGCAAGGCCACTGATGATGCTAGTCTTCAGGGCATTTACAAACTGTCCCACAGTTGGGTTATTGTTCGAACCACAATTCAAACGAATAGCTCCAAATGTGTTCTCCAGGGGATCCTGATTCAGGTTTTGGGTGTGAAGGTACTCAAAACCCGCCTCTTTCAGTGTCCTCCACACATGCTGGGCAGCAGTGATATCAAGTCAATCAGCCACCCATTCTGTGAAGGAGGAGGATGAAGAAAGGCAGGTTTACCATCCTTGAGGAAGATCCAACTCTTTATGTCCATACTTGCCGTTTTCCAGAGCTCTATATGGGGACTGTTGTCACCGAATGGGCAACGCAGTGTTTTCCCTCGGCCAACACTTGTTCCACCACTGAAACTATAGAAGTTGTCAACCTTATCGACAAACGCAGCTGTTGCCATGTACTCGCTGCTCCACCCACCTGAATGGGGCGGGGGGGAGAAACACAGGTTAGTGCACCTCCTTACATGGTGAATTACAGTTTCTTTACATTGGAAAATAACACACTACTTTACAAAGGACTAACGTTATACAAAACTTGTACATTTCATTACATGATTCCTCATATTAAAATCTTTGCCACCTAATTCACACTGATAGTGTCATCTGCTTTTCAAATATTTTTTAATTATCCTAAAAACAGTATTTGTGACATATTCTACATAACTTGTATATTGATATACAGTTTCAGAAGACAATTTAAGTCAGATGATAATGACGTTTGATTACAACTGGGTTCTGGGGCAGTAACTTTGAAAAGTAGTCCTCATTATTAGTCACTTCATTCATAAAAGAAACCTATAGTGCTTACCTGTAGCCCCTAGAGCATTGAGGCTTGCTGCAACAGTATGGCTCATGTCCTGTGCAGCCAAGCACACATTCATTGAGCTCTGTGCTGTGGGGTTCAGGTGGGTGTCTGTCAGCCTATACAACAGGCTAAACGGTCTGGCTTTGTTGATTTCATACAGTTTCAATATGTGGTCCCACTTAGCAATAACAGGAAGTTGGGTGTCCACATGTTCAGACTTCAACTGCACATCATGTTTCAGGAAAAGGTTCCGGGTGCACTTCAGAAGGTGGGGTGGATCATACACTGTTGCAATTTCTTGATTGCAAAATCTGAAGAGTGGTTTCCTTCTGGAAGCACCCAACAGTTTCAAGGCCTTGACACTGCTGGCACCCATGTCACACACAGTGGCAACCACCTTCAGGCCAGCATTCTGACAGGCGTCAAGAAGCTCCTTCAAGTATTGCACAATCATCTTGGCCTTTGTTCTTCCACGAATAAAGTAGTAAGCCACTGGCTGCTTCCACTTTCTCTGCAGGCCACGGATCATGAAGAGTAGAGCATGATTTGCAATGCTGCAAGCCCTGCCCTGACTTCCACAATCTTCAAAATCCTCAATGCAGTCAAACTTAGACTGCAAGGATCATCTGGATGGGAGGGG